TGCCCTCTAACTCAGCACAGGTTTGGTCCATAAGAGCTGGAAACTTTTCTGTGGTTGCCTTGATAAGCTGTGGAAGGACCAGAGATTAGATCAGCGGCGTAAAAAAGATCAAAATTAAGAAATTGCATACATACTTTGTAAGTTTATTTAGTCATTTTTGCTTCCTCCTTCTGCAGTTGACTAGACAATGATTCGACTTTTTCGATAGAAAGCGCTTCCAGTGATTTAGTCAACTTATTGATGCTTTTGGTTGCAACACTACTGATGTCTTGCCTGGCTGTCTCAAGCAACAGGAAAAGAAGAATATCACTTTGAAAAACTTTGTTTTGGAGATGTGTGTGTTACAGCAAGAGAACTCTGACCACAGCTGAAACGTTTAAGACAAACTCGTACCTTTTCTAGTTTTGGCAAACTGACATTTTCCTCATGCTGAAACAATATAACAAATTATGAGCAATGTAAAAGTGTCGTACTGCTGGACAGTGAACTATAAGCAGTTTTATTTTTCTGAAGAGGCACTGGGGAGGATACTCTTTCTGAATAGCAAGAAATAATCATCTCCACGATAAGAAAGAGATGGTGGCTCCAGACTTCAGTTACATTTGTAATAAGCAATAATCAAAACTTATATGTGAGAGGAGAAAGGAAAGGGGCTACATAATCAATAATCTGTGGCACATCTCTAATTCCTTACCTGCAGAAGGGCTTCCTTAACCCCAGCTGCTACTAGATCTTTAAATAGGAGGTCTTCCTCCGTCACATGTGGGGGTGGCTGCAATAACATCTTCGGACGCAACACACAAAAAAATGGTTATTAGTTTTTAACAGAACCTGCGCTGAGTCTTTATTGACGGTTGTCTTCCAAACATTCAAGGGAACATGAAATAGGTAATTGAACCGCAAAGTAATAAACAAGCAAAGTGTCAGTTTATCAAATGGTTTTGATAAGTAAAGTATTAACTCGTTCTTTCCTTGTTCATTATCATTAAATTCCCATGTCTCTGTAACCATTCACCGGAGCTCAAAAATAATGCGCAGAACGCAAATCGCGAGTAATGGAAAACTTTT